CTTTCAGGGATCTACATGAGTAAAGGCTTGTTGGCAACTTACCAGTGAAGTTGTTCCAAAACAGGTCAAGTTTAGTAAGTTGAACAAGTTTGGAGAAATTAAGCTTGGTAATGTCTCCTTCCAAGTTATTTCGTCCCAAACGTAGTTCTACAAGGCTGGTGCAATTCATCAAAGATTGGGGCAACGAACCTTGTAGGTCGTTGAAATCTAGCTTTACGATTCTTAACCTGGAGAGCTTCCCCAAATGGAGAGGGAGCACTGAGCTTAGTTGATTGAAGGAGAGGTCAAGGATTGCGAGGTTGGTGAGGTTGACAATTTTATCACTAATGCCTCCATATAGTGAATTCATATGTACTGCAACTTCTTCGAGTTTGGTAGCATTATAGATATCTTTTGGAAGTAGCCCTGAGAGATTATTGTGGCCGGCACGAAAAATCTGCAGCTCGGAACACCTCCCAAAACCGTGGTAAATGTTGCCACTGAATTGGTTTGAGGAAAAATCCAACACTTTAATCAAGGGGTTAGAATGGAGACATATAGAGGATGGGATGTACCCGGAAAAGGCATTGTTGCTGACGTTGAAACTTGTCAAATTCCAAGCATGCATGAAGAACGAAGATGGAATTGGACCATGGAACTGATTGCTTGACAAATCGAGTGTCCGGATGTTGCCGGATGTTAGAGACAAAGGTAGCTCTTCAGAAAGAAGGTTATAGCTCAAATCAAGAATCTTAAGAGAATTCAAGGACTCAAAGAGTCTATTTTTGAGTGAACCGTGAAGTGAATTGCAGGAGAGATTCAAGTGGGTGAGATGCGTGAGGTTTGCAAGTGCGGATGACAAGGTAAAAATAACTCCGTGTAGCCCCTTCGAGGGTAAGAGCAAATGGGTGACCCGACCTTCCGGATTACAAGTGATGCCTTCCCAATTACAACAGTTAATAGAAGTCCAATTTAAAGGAGGAGAGGATAGAGTGAGGTTCAAGGACAAGAGAGCGCTACGTTCATTTTGGTTGCATGCGTGGATATTTGGAGATGTAATGGACGTGAATAAGAGGATTATGAGAAGGAAGCCATGAGCCATTTTGTTTGAAGGCTTGCTGCTGTTCACTGCTTTTTGTCTTCGTATATATAGCACGATCTTGAGTCTCTGCATTTAGAAGTCGAGGGGCCCTCCAAGACCCCGACTGAGAATTTGGCAAACAAGCGTAACCACACAATGCAATATTTCCAACCCCTTCAAGACGTCGAATGGAGATTTTCCACTAAAGAACCCACAAACGACAACCTTCGCTCGTTGGATCAACCAAAGAAAATTCAAGGTGGGGCAGATGATAACAACAAAAGATAATAAGCCTAATTTTTTATGATAAGAAGCCTAATTAGGCCCCAAGTACATGGAAACATTTAAAAAAAATGCAAGTGGTTTTTTTCTTTCTAAAAAGTACTTCAGCTGCTTCAAGTGCTTCATTCTATGAGCATTTCAAGTAGTTTTTATTATTTTATTATAAAACTCACAAAATTACTGTTAATTTTTTGCCAACGTCGTTAAAAGCTCTTTCGGCGATTTTAAAACATTTTAAGTTACTTTAAAAGCACAGTCAAACATGCCTAATTTTGCGAAGCCTAGCTCTAAATTAAGAATAGAGAAGTAGTGAGTGTTCTTTCTTCTGTATCTCAAAACTTAAAACACGTATTTGACCTAGCAAAATGATATTATACATATACTAAAATTCAGACTGTTCACTAACAGTGAAAGGACAGAAATGCCCTCAGTTTCTTCTTTGGATAACGTACTGTTTAGGCTTTCTACAGTAGAAAGTCTATTTTGCCCTTCCACGACTCGGGCCTTTCATCGTTTTTTTCTCTGCTTCTACCATATTGTTTTTACTTTACCTTTCCACGCGTCAAACATCGACCCGCCCTCCATCGATAGATTTTTCAATATGATCGTCACACGAGGTGGTACATCACGTGTTCCTATATAAATGGTGATTTATGTATGTTAAAAAGTTAATAACTTAAAAATTAAAATTTTCCACCATTTGCATATATGAGAAGAAAGGAGGAACAAAGTGAAGAAACAAATTCATTTGATTAAGGAAGTTCAACTCTACTCATTGTTTCTTATTTTAGATAGGGCTGTAATTGGATTTCCACACATATACAAGTAGTATGGTTTATCATGTATATTTAAAACTTGTGATATATTTTATACAGTTTTAAAATCCGTAGCATCACGCGGGCACTCTTGCTAGTTATATGGCTAAAACGCTCATGTCATAGAGAAGCAGTAACTGTCGTTCATCTCACCGTGTATTAGGGGCACAAATTGGACATAGGGGACCCCAACCTTAAAGTCTCAAACTGTATTCGAATGGCTCAATAATTTGGTCCGCTAATTAAATGCATGCATCTGAAATGATTTTTCTTTGAAGATTGGACGTCACTCATTTTTCTCCACCACTGAGTTATATATCTGATCCATCATACTCGCAATGTCCATTAAGATGTTGTATTTACGCATCAATAGTTACTGACCGTAATTAAGATAGCCCCGTGAAGATGGGCAAGTGGTACTATGGTACCGTGATGAACCAATTTTTATACTATATATTTCGTCCTTTTATATTTGTTTTCTTGTCTAGTTTAGTTGGACGTTTTAAGTATTTGGGATACTTTTGCCATTTTGTGTTTCTAGGAGTAGCATGATCGAGTTTGGTGGATGTAGAAACTGATTTTCCTTGGTTATTACACCATCAATGTACAGTACACACACACAAGTGAGTAGCTAATACTCTACAGTTACATCTTAAAGACCATAAATATGAAGTTACAACATAACGGACAATTGGCCAATATTCTATAATTAGTGTCATTAACTAGTGTAACTCCCTAACAATGGAAAAGTATGCAAACGGTTGAATTTCTGATCAACTGAAGATAATCATATCAAGCATACGTCTGTCGTAGTCCTCTCACAGGAAATGGGCTTCAAACGTTACTGAAGGCCAAATCTAGTGGAATCTAGTTGGAGTAGAGATTAATAATTGCATCTGCACGTCTTAATAACGTAGCATTTGGTTCTATCTGACCAAAAAGATAAGGCTGGGGACCATGAAAATGATGGAGGACGGCCATTATGTTGTGAAAAGAAAATTTCAAACCAAAGTGAATACTTTTAAGTGGAATGGTCTTTATAATACAATTCTTAAACGCGTGAAGAGAGAAAAAAAAGAAAGGCAGAGGAACGGACAGAAGGGAGGAGCACACACGGAAGTGGGAAAGAAAGAGAAGAAAAAATAAAATAAAATAAAAGTGTAGAGGGAACACACGGCATTATGGAAAGAGGAAAGAAAAGATAGTGGAAAATAAAGGGAATGGGGATTATTGGGTTGGACCCGGCTTCTCTGCCTTCTCAGTTCTCATATGCTCTTATCTCCTTCTATTTTGTATGGTCACGGTTAAACCACGTCAACATTTTATATTGATTTTTTTATAAAGATAATAAGACAAAAAACAATAATGATATAAAATATTAACGTGGTTTAACCGTGACTGTACAAATAGAAGGGGATGAGAGTGTATGGGAACAAGGAGTGCAAGAAGCCAGGACGGTTGGGTTTTGGTAGGCAACTTTACAGTTGCTTGGACAAAGAGAGGAAAAGAGAAGGAACAGACTCGGAGAGGGAAAAACAAAAGGCATAGGGAGAAACGGACGAAAGGCAGAGGAAAGAAGTGAAGAGCATTGAAGGGCAGAGGAGAGGAAGTCAGGAGCATTGGAGAGCAAAGGAATGGAGAGCTCGTCCAGTAAAAAAGGGTGTCTTCTTTCTTTGATTTTTCTTAGATAATTTCTTATGTATTAATACAAGTATGTGTAACTAATTTCCTTTCGCTAGAGTGAGGCCATGAGCCTCAACTAGAATACGTAGATTTCTCTTTTCATTGCTTAAGTGTTGTTACATGCTTGCTTTGATATTTTCAATCAATGAATTAAACATGTGCCTTGATGCTTGATCACCATTAAGATGCTTAGAAAAGTCATCGGATGCAATTTTGAACGAATGTCACGTTAAAATTGGTTCTGCTTCTTGTGAGTGAGGATTGTAATTTCTCCTAACGTAAATATCATTCTCTTGGGAATTACATGGTTTACCAGAAGGATTTTCACCAAGATTAATGAATCACTCGTGTTTATATTTAATCCAAACGTCACGGATGAATTGCATGTAGTGGCATGCGTTTTAGCTTGAACTAGTAACTTGAATGCACAAGCCTTAACTACATGGATAAGACACATTTAACCTGAAAAAAATTCAACATAATCATGAACGAACAAAAGGCTTAGATGAGTGAATGGTGTAGATAAGATAAGCAGCTTGACTTTTATATACATTCAACCGAGTTGATTACAAAAGATGTGGTTGCAAAAAATGCTTTGTTTCCCTAAGCAACATGCATTTTACACATATATTGCCCTTGAAGTTAAGATGGCAAAATATACGTCCTGCAGGCCAGCCAGCCAGTTTTAGGCGTTAAACAAAAAAACATAAAAAGTAAATCGTTCTTGTTTCAGCAGCTAAGCAACTAAGTAGAAGAATGTTTGTTCAAGTTGATGCAATGAGAGTTCTCCTTACACATCAACACTAAGCAAAATTAACTGAGCTAGTTTGTGGATATGCAACCCAAAATTAACACTAATAAAAATAGCATTTGAATGAATGCATAAGCAAAAGCAGATGTTAAACATGAGAAAAATTACATAGAAAAGAAAACAATGTTAAATATCCTAGGTGCTCCATTTATATTTCTTCTCTATTTCTATATATTTAAACTACCAATTATCAGCACAAATATTTCATTTCCTTGCAGCTACCACAACTACATATAAAACATACTTGATATTATGTATAAGACAGTTTTGCAGGCGTATAAAGGCAGCATATTGAATTCCCATTAACAATTGAGTGTGAAATATGGAGAAAGTTTGAGACATTACTCACAGATGGTGAATTGAAATGTGTATCAATTATGGCCACAACAAAGGCTAACAACTTCTTCACACTAAGCAAATAAGTTGAAAACAACAATGGTTAGGTTATCATTTTCTAATAAGTTGACAAAGAAAGAGAAGACTACTACCTTTATTGGGTTTCATAGTTGGGAGCTCCTTTTTTCTTCCATAAACATGGCTTTAAAATAATTTGAAGCAGCAATGGACAAACATTGAGGAGTAATGAAGATTTGTGGTTGTTACCCAAATTTAAACTTGCACAGAAAACCATTTCAAAATCTTCTAAATACAGAATATCATTGGTCAATCCTTTAGCAAATAAATACAGAACGAAGAAATTAAAATGGCCCAAAATTTTATAAACAAACATCAGAATGCAGAAAATGAAATTACCAAAAAAATTATGGACAAAAATCCAAACTCACAACCAAATTCACTTAAAAAATGCACAAAAAAAAAAAAAAAAACCAAAATCAATGGAAAATTATACGAAGAATACTACAAAATCACAAAAAAATTATTGAAACGTAGAAATTTGAAGCAGATGTTTACATGCAATAGACCCCTCCACTTCCTCTTCTGGGGAGGCCTTGGAGTGAGTTCCAAGGGTTGTTCCTTCTGTATGCATTGAAATTCTGAAATATACAAAAAATAATGTACATTAGGAGAACACATATAGAAGAAGCCAAATACATTTATTATTAATAATTATATTCATCACTATTTGCTTTCCGTGGACACCATCATCTCCACCATACCCCGCCTTTTTTTTTTCCTTTTTTTTCCTTTCCACTTTCGGCTACTTTCTCTCCTTAAATTTGGAGTGATTGAAGGCACGACTGATTGCTTGTTGCGTCTTTGCCTCCTTCTTGGCTTCTCTATAAGAGAGGCTTTATCTTGTATTCTTAACAACACATCAATATATCATTTCAATTCAATACAAATCAATCTTTCAAGCAAATTTACATTCAAATTTAACATTTATTATTTCCACACACGCACGTACACCCAGATCATCCAAGAAAAATTTAGGATTTGCTGAAGAAATCACTCACCAGATCCATGAAGAAAAAGTCCAAGCAGGCAGTAAAGGCATCAGTTCATTCAGTCAAAGAAGCTGCAGTTGGTTTTGTGGATTCGGTAGATGAGTTGATGAGAAACCGTTTGAGACCAACCTCAAGGCGATTGTCGCCTGCACATATAAACACCACATAAAAATCACAAAAAATTAAAAATAAAATAAAATAAAATAAAAACCGAAAACAACTTGTGATTAGCAATATCAGTATCTCTTGCATAATCGTAAAGTTTTGTGCTGCAACCCCCTTAGAAAAAGAGTATGAAATACTACAATTATCAAACTGCAGGAGTCCATCCTGGTTTGATATGTATCTGATTTCAGGAATTTTCGTGCACATTATCTCTTGCTCTTCTCTTAAGCAGTGAAGCAGCTTTCTCGAACAGTAGAGAACAGATCTAGAAATGCACCAGTAGGGGTTCCAAGCAGCTTTCTATAACTAATTCAGAATCCAGGTACTTTGACTTCTTGTCTGCTGGGATAATGCCATCCTGCAATGAATTCCAGACTCATTAAGTACAAAATCTACATCTGAAATAGCATTGCAATGATATGGGTTTCGGAAAGAAACTGAAACATAGTAAAAAATTCAAGGCATAACAGATGTGTGCACCTTGATATACGTTTTCGGGAAGATGTCTTTCAGATCATCAAGACTGCTGTCCCATTTTGATTCGGTCAAATAGATTGTGGTATCCTTTGCGAATCCAAGTTTCCTAAAAAATAAAGCAATCTCTTGTGCATTATAGCAACTTCGTTTGAATATAGTCACTACTCATTATTCATAGTTTTAAAGGAAACTTACTGGTAGACCGCCTTCAGCATCAACAGTGGTCAAAATATTGATTTTATCCATACCCCAAACTTTGATTGCATAGTCATCGCCAACAGCCAAATACTTATTCTTGCTTGTATCAAACTGAACAACACCAAAAGATGGTTTTTGAAATCCTAAGTAATTCCTCTTTATTACACCATCATTTTCATTCCATTCAACACAGAATGCACGGGAGCATCATGACCTTAGAAAGGATACAACTTTGACCCAGTAGTTGCATTCCACACCTATAAAACACAAATCGATGTATAAGTTTATCATGTTTTCTACGACCTATTGTATCACCACTTCTTCAAAACCAACCTTAATGGCCTTATCATCACCGCAAGTTACGGCACAAAGTTGCATAACCGGTTGCAGAACGCCAAATCATTAATACTACCAGCATGAGCATCGGTCTAGAAATTGATGAAAGTATTAGAAAAGAGAACAGCAAAATGAAACATACTGAAAAGGTAGAAGATGCAGAACCTACCTCCAGATGCTGGTGAATCTCATTCCCACCAACATAAGCATATAATTGGATAATGTGTTTAGGACATGCAACTCCTGTTTGAAAGAACAATTGCACTTAAAGTTTTCTAGAAAAAGCTACCGTGGATCGTATTCAAGCTTACCAAATCGAGAACTTACCAAATAGATTACCATCGGGGCTCCATAATTACCATCGGGGCTCCATAATATACGCTTTACTGAGACACATGGATCCTTGATCAGAGTTGCCTGAGTGTCATTAGAATCAAATAGGTTAAGATGATTCCAGTGACATTAATGTAAATGTCGTCTGTATAATGACTTGGTTGATAAGGGAACATACCTTCAGCATCATTGAACTCGCTCCAATATCCCATACCTGAAAGCTTCTCGACAACAATTTCTCCCTAGAACCCCGGGTTAGTTCCGACTGGTACAAAAAAAACCCTTATCAACTTGCTGCTTAAACAAATACATATAATCTAAGAAGTAGTATTTCTTCTATTTTGATTGAAAAAGTAATTGTCTTGTATTCCAACAACATCATTAAAGGAAACCTCAGAGAAACCAACCCAGAAGTAGTGTACGCTGAACAGGATGGAAGTCCATGCTTGTGCTTGCGGCTCAAAGTTTTCAGACGCTCAACCACTGATTATTACCCTCTCAACCACTAATTTTTCATACGATCTGTATTAATGAGGATAGTCATCCTGGATCAAAACTGAAGCAGGAAATCCAAAGAAAACAGAGGAAAATATTCAACCCAGAATTCTGAAAAGGAATTTGGACAAAGAATATGAGGTTTTGTCGCATGTTTTGGGTCTTAGAAAGTGGTTACAAACTTCGAGTACAAATCAATCCAGCATGAATTTATACCACACATTCTGGCATAAAAGAAAAGAAAAATCACAACTAATATTTGAAATTAAATTCATGAAAAGCACACAAATTCAGTGAGAAGAAAGAGAGATTACTCGGATAGTTCTTTGAAGTAAGGGAAGCGTGACCGCATAGCACTCTTAATCTGGGACTGGATATCATGCGCCTCCTTCAGAGGGCTCTCGCTATCTTGCGCATCCTCCACCATTACCATGAACTCCCTCTCTCTCTCTCTCTCTCTCTTTCTCTCTCTCTCTCTCCCTAAAATCAGAGCTCTTTGTCAGCAAATCCCATAGATTCAGAAATCTAACCCCGAAAACTGTTATCCAGAACCTTCATGAATCACTTCAACAGAAACACACCGATCATAGTAATTTACTGATCAATTATACCAGTGCATTCATCAAATAAGCAATTCCAAAATACACACTTAGCAGATAAACATAACCTAAGGCACAAATTCACGCGGATAGAGAAAATCAAGTTCCACAACCTACTAAAACAAAGTGGCAACTGAGAGATCGTTTGAGGGATTTGAGACTGAGCTTCTTCCATAAACAACATACCTAGAAGTCCCCAAGTTTTCAAACAGAAATTAAACATTTAAATAGCTTATAGTAATTTAACAAATTCTTCATTAGTGGAGTAAATAATTTGTAACCACCTATTTCCTAGTAGGAAAAATAAAAAATTCAATTTTAAAAAAGAAATGTACCTTTTAGTTCAATTTCCACAGCCATAGTAATTTATGTGGACTAAATTAAGATTAACTAATACATCCAATCAACTGCAACCAAACAACTTAAAGTAATTTAATCTGTGTTTGTGGATGTGTGTGTGTGTGTGTGTGTGTGAGAGAGAGAGAGAGAGAGAGAGAGAGAGTTACCTATTATAAAGCCAACCTTCTTTGAATTCACTTCTTGGTCCTCTTGTGACTTATTACCAAAACTCTCCACTGCATTTGCAGTAATGCCCTCTGCTTCTCCTCCTGCGATAATTATCATTCTGCAAGTAAAAGGTACAAAAATATCAATTATTTAATGGTAGATATGTACTTTAGACTTTTGAAGATCCAATTCATCCTGCATCTTCTCACACTCATCTTCATGCTGAAGCCGCAAATCTGTCAGCTCAGCTTCATGTTCACTCCTCATTGAAGTTATTTTCTATGAAAATGATAAACTGGTTTGTAACGTAAGCATATAACACTCTACTTAAATTAGCAGTTCCAACTTAATTCAAAGCTAAAAACGACATTAAGACCACAATTTAAGAATCCAGAAACAGCCCAAACTAACAACACAGAGGACAGACACTGAAAGACATTTTTGAGAGAAACCAACTAAAAATTAAAAACAAACCAAGTAAAATTTTCAGAGTTTAAAAACAGGAAACCAATACAATCTTTACAGAAACCAACTAAAATTGGAATCTGAAAAAAAAATCTGCTCAATTTTAACCGCCCTGTTGCATATATTGGGTTTTTTAGGCATGAGACTACACAAATGAAGAAAAGATAACATAGTTGTAAACCTTAGGCTCCAATCAGGTCAAGTGTGAGATTTCAAACACGGAGATTTACTCCAAGTTTAAAAACTGCCAAATACATTGCCAACTGTTAAGAGCATGAACTACAAATCTGTAAAGTAAAAGGGCTTGCAGATAAGTTTAAACGATCAACCGTCAACTTATGATTGTTACTGTTTTTTAGCTGGACGTTCACATTCTAACATGGTATTAAAAGAGATTATAAGCGTGCGTGCTCTTAAACCACCCAACATCATGTATTAATCAAATAATTAACATCTAAAGATGGAGACATGCAACACGAAACCTGCAATTAGATCCCAATCACAAAACGCCAAAAAAAAAAGAAAAAAAAAAAAATCATAATCTAACAGCCTATTCGAGCAGCTATTAGCACCTGACCCGCTACTTTGGCGACCCACCCACACCCACCTGCACCCGAGTCAAAAATCCCAGCGATCCTCTTCCTCCAACCCATCAACCCTTGTGTGCAAATTATGGATTCGGAGGATGTATCTCGAAAATTCAGATGCACATGATTACAATTAGTAGATATTAAGGACGTGCACTTAACAGATCAACACAAAGAACGAATGAGTACATTACAAACTAAATGACTGTGTCAGCCAGATACTTCTTAAAGAACACCTCCAATCTACCAGTATGATTACTCAGTTTTTGCTGAAAACTAATACCCTAAACCTTACATTCAAACTCATTTCGAATGCAAACAAAAAGTATATGATAAGTCCTGAGCCTTTCTTTCTAGCCTCAACTCAACTCAAGTTCCCCACTTTCACCTTCCAATACAAAGAAACTAACGCATCAATCTGCAATTTCGCAAACAACATATAATTCGCAACCCAGTGTCTACATAAAAGATCAAATTAAAAAAAAATAAAACTGGACCAAGGCATAATCTTTCATTTCATAATCAAAATGTTGGCCGAAAGTACAAAGCAAACACAGCATGCAAAAAAAAAGAGTTCTGTGTCTACGGAACAATCTCAATGTGCACAGATGATATGAAATCATTCCACAATAAAGGAAAAAATCTGGAGAGAGAAAGAAAGGCTTACCACAATCAAAAGGATTTCCACTATCATCTCTCCCATCTCCTGTAGCTTAGCTACACACAAACAAAATATTTTTAACTAAACCAACCCCCAAAGTCCGAAATAAAACCATGCCAAACTCTAACCATAAATCAGCAACATAAAAAAAAATCAATTTATAGTTCTATACTGATCCTTCATTGGTTTCAAAGGATCAATCCTAGGAGTCAATCAACTGGTAGGGTAGCAAATTGTGTTATCACTAACAACAAACAATCACTGTTAAGAAACAATGAGCCATATGAATTACCAGACACGATCCTAAGATGAAACAACAATACTGAAAGCAGTATGTATTCTCAAAATAACTGGTAACTAAAAACGTATAGATTAGTAAAACAAAATGGGGATCTTCAAATTTATCAACACAGATGAAGCAGCAAATCCATCACAATCCTTATCAATCAAACTTATACAAAATTGACCACGGAAGCACATAGAACCAGTAACTTTCACCACAAAACAAAAACCAAAATACAAATGCAGTACAAAAAAAAAAAAAAACTAATCGATTCAAAACTCACAAATCTCACAAACCAAAACAAATCCAGATATTTGATCACTGGAAAAAAAAAAAAACCCAGATTCAACAAAAAGTAAAAAAATTGAGAAAAATGGTCAATTGATTCAAGTCGTGGATTACCAAGTGATTTGCAAAGATAACTTTGACGCCATGTCTGATAAACAAACAACACAGATAGAAGTATCCCTACACATACTCTTAGTTTGAGTGGTTTCTGTGCCATCATCGTCATCAGCAGGCAGCACATCATCCTCAAAATCATCCCTTTCAGACAATGCACCAAGACTTTGAAATTCAAAGTCATCTTCTTCTCCATCTGATAAGTTATATTTGCTTTTCTTGTTCGTCTTTAATTATTCATGAAAATGAAGAGAAAAAAAGAAAGCAAAACACATTAATAAATTACCCATGATTCCATAAATTAAACTGAATATAGTTCTGAAATAGAGTTTACAGTTGTGTAGAAAGCTTGACAAAAAGAAAGGAAATTTAGATATCATGTGTTAGATATGCACATTTCAATCAGGTAAGCTTTGTGCGATGAACTACAACTGTTTACTATTTCCCTATATTTTCCTGGGAACCAAACAGAAAACAAAGCTGACCCCAAACAATGGGCAAAATTCAGAAAATGAGCTTACTTGATGCTCGCGCTGCGCACGCTGAATGGCCTTATCGAACTCATTGAGCTCGTCATTATGCTCCCCAATTCGTTTATCGACAAAGACCGAAGCTTTATTGCTCTGCTCGTACTCCTTCAGCAACGTGTTCTTCCTCTGAGCCACCAAAACATAAATAAATCAATAAAATCACAAAATTTCAAGTAAATTCAGAAAGGAAGGGACGCAATTCAGTACCTTTTCAATGGCGCGAGAGCGGGAGAGGCCAACTCGGCGCTCTTCGCCTTTGCGCTTTTGCCGAGAACGTCGAATTTCCTCCGGGACCAAATGGTCTCGAACGGGTTGGGTTTTAGGGGGACCTGGTGCTTCATGGCGACAGCGTTCGGGCCTAATTTATTCTTTTTCTTCTTCACCGTCGCCGCCGTCTCATGGTTGTGATTGGCGTCAGCTCTGCCGGGTTTTGGTGATTTGTTCTCGAAGGGGTTGGGTTTCGAAAAGGACTTCTGTTCCCCATTGGAGACTGGTGTGAGCGGAGATCTGATGGTTTTGTTGTAAATAACATGAAATCGAGTGGCTCCGTGCTAGACCATACGGACATAATTACCCTCTGAACTTTTGAGAATTACCCTCCCAACCCAGCCTCAGTTCACTGGTATTGTTGTAAATAGAATGAAATCGAGTGACAAAGAATTGATGGCATCTACATTGCCTCTTCCCCCATGATTTAGACTAAAGTAATACCACAAGTAAAACTACAAAAGTAATACCACAAGTAAAACCACATAAGTAATGTGTGTTCTCGATACTTGACTAATTGGAAGAGCTACGTGTGAATGTTGTTGGTAAAGGTCAAACTATAGTACCTTGTCAATCTAATTTTCTTCAATTATTTCTCCTATCTTGAGTTTCTACATTTACTTATTTTGTTTAGTTGGTTCACAATTTCTACAAGCCAATTCTCATTTTAGATAGTTGTTTATGTCACCTATTTAGTTTTGTCAAATTAATGTAGTTCTTAGAGTTAATTAAGTTAAATAATTCGAAAACTCATAAATTGTTTATACCAGTCCATGAGGAGATCGACCTTACTTGAGCCATTCTTTACTTCAAAGACTTATTCTCTTGCAAGAATTTTCTATGGGTTAACCTTGTTTTACAGGTGGTAAAATCTTTACCATGCCATCGCCACCACCGCTACCACCGTCCCACCACTACTGCAACCACCACACCACACGACAACTATAACCCAGTTCAGCTGCAGAAAGAAGTCTACGACCTTATGAAAAGAAAAGAAAATATATGGTCATGCTGCTCTTCAATTTATCTTGGAGAAAATAGACTACGGTTCTGTTTAAAATTTTGCATGCAGGTGGTAAAATGCTGCGTTAAAAGGATGAGGTTACCATAGCTAGTTCCATTTTTCCATTTTTGGCATATCTGCTCTGGTCTGCAAACAAAACTTCTTTTCAAATTTTCTCTCTTTACAAGCTCTAGATCCAGTTTCTCGTTATGTAACATGGTTATGTCCTGTTGAGCAGCAACTTGACAACCTATTAAAGTCTTTCTATCGAGCTATTAAGAATAAAGAGTAGAATGCAGTAAGACGCCAACAAACAACACTGCTATTGTTATCTGCTTGATTCGCTCACATGTCTCGGCATTATATGAAAGCTCAAAACTTCAGATCAACCAAATGTATGAAAATTTAAAATCCAGCAAACATTTCCACTCAGTTTCCAATGTACCTGAACTATGTTTCCTGCCTTTGTTCCATGGTATCCTCCCTCTGTTGGCATGTCCTTTTTTTTTCTGTCTCTGTCTCTCATTTTCTTCTTGCTAAGAAACAATAGTCGAGCAAATGAGAGAAACAGGCGTAATGAAAGAACTCATAACTTTCACAAATCAACGATCTTTGAAAGGAGAAAGGAAAATATGCAGAATCGTGAATTTCAGAATACTGGTTCATCTCCTGTGCCTAATCAAGCTGGGTCAAACTCAGGACCTGGACCTGCCAACATGGGTCCTCCACCCCTCAACAGGGCTCCAATGCCGCCTCCCAACATGGCTCTCACCAAACAACTACAATAATCCCCAGCCAAGCAACAACTGGAATTCTGGGCCACCGAACAATTACAATCAGGCGCCTCCCAACAACTATTATCAGATGCCGCCCAACAACTACAATCAGATGCCTTCCAATAAACTCGGGAGGGGTGCCACCAAACATAATGGCTCTGCCTTCTAATGCAGGAAGGAATGGTCCATGACAATACCAGAATAACTACACTCCAGACAGGAATGCTGGATTCAATCCTGGTCCAAATCGTTACTAAGCTTGAGGCTAGTTACGATATGATGAGTCTTGTAAGCATGTTGTAGATAAATGAGGAGGTTGCTCGAGATGGGCTGTAGGCTTTAATGTTTCTGGTCATGGATGATATTTCGTTTGGCATATTGCTGTGGTCGGAACCTGGTTGCCTTTTATCCGAATAGGATTACACTTTCAAGGTTATATCTTATGCGATTAGTCGTGTCTTTACTTTGGTGCGCAGTACGAGTTTTTTCAGGTAGTGCACATATTGACAGAAAGCAGACTGCATGGGGATCCTTGTTAAACGGAACATGTTAATTTGCAGTCCTCTCTGAAGATTATGTGTTGCTATTCTTTCGTAGATTGTTTTTGCATGATGTGAGAAGGATTTGCAAATTACAATTTACAATTCATTTACAAAGCAATAACTTCGATAGCATAGGGACGTTTATTATAAAATAAAATACATAACAGAGGTTTATATTCGAAACCCTCAAATGTAACCGAGAAAAACAAATTACTCTATTTAGCTAAGCCATCATTCATGCTATTCATGTGCACTGCTAACATGACATAAAGCCTATCTTCTACATTGTCTGTGAACCGAAAGTACGCATATCTCCATGTCTTCTTCACGATCAAAGAACCACATACTCCCCCGAATCCGAAAATAAACCCGAACGCAGAGGAAATATGAAACCACGGTAGTTGATGCCCATCGTCCTCATCATCTCGGTTATTCTTATCATGCGCATCACTGCGACACTCGTTTGGAAGCGGTGCACCGCAAAGTTTTGGATTCCCCTCAAATGCAGAAGCTTCAAAGCTTTGGAGCTGAGTGCTTGTTGGGATTGGACCTTCGAGATTATTGTACGAGACATCAATTGCCTTTAAGAAATTAAGGCTCGCCAGAGACGATGGGATTTTTCCGGACAAGTGATTCGTGAAGAGATTCAAATATTCTAAGTTCTTAAGGTTAGACATTTGATCTGGAATGTTGCCGGAGAAGTTGTTCTCGTCTAGAAGCAAGTAACGAAGAAGCTGCAGTTGGCCAATCTCAGGCGGTATATTACCGGCAATGTTGTTAATAGGGAGATCTATCGTTGGAGGAAAGTTAGCCAATTTGCGGGGCAAACTGTCTGTGTCCGTGTAAAGAGGTAATTCGAGTTCATAATTTGCTTGAGCTGCAACAGGTTCATGTACCAACGCCGGTACTCTACAAAGTTCTTTTGGAAGTTCACTTGAAATAAGGTTTATTGCCAAGCTTATATGAAAAAGTCTTGGTAGATTAGTCCCCAACCAGCTAGGAATTGTCCCTGTGATTTTGTTACCTTGCAGAGTCAAGATCTCTAGACTCTTTAGCTTTGCCAACCATATAGGTAGTCGACCTGTGAGATCACAAAACGCTAGGCTAAAAATGCGAAGATTTTGAAATCCATCAAAACGAACATGTCATCGTCAGATGGCATTCCTTCACCGTTAAAGGAGTATGAAAGTATTAGTGCTCGAAGACTTTTGCAATGCATCAATATCTTCATTGCTCCTGTGACATTTTCCAATCGAATGTCACCAAGAGAGAGGAAGGACGGAGAGTTCAACGAAAGAATCTTGGATTGCATTTGCCCCTCTAGATTGTTCGAACTTAATCGAATTGCCTTCAGGGATCTATATGAGTAAAGGCTTGTTGACAACTTACCAATGAACTTGTTCCTATACAGGTCAAGTTTGGTAAGCTGAACAAGTTTGGAGAAATTAAGCTTCCCAATGTTTCCTTCCAAGTCATTTTGTCCCAAACGTAGTTCTACAAGGTTGGCGCAATTCATCAAAGATTGGGGCAATGGACCTTGCAGGTCGTTGAAATTGAGGATTACGATTTTTAACCTGGACAGCTTACCCAAACGGAGAGGGAGCACTGGGCTTAGTTGATTGAAGGAGAGGTCAAGGATTGTGAGGTTGACAATTTTATCACTAATGCCTCCATATAGTGAATTAAGAGGTATTACAACTTCTTCGAGTTTGGTAGCATTATAGATATCTTCTGGAAGTAGCCTTGAGAGATTATTGTGACCAGCATGAAAGATCTGCAACTCGGAACACCTCCCAAAACTACGGTAAATGTTGCCACTGAATTGGTTTGAGGAAAAATCCAACACTTTAATCAAGGGGTTAGAATGGAGACATATAGAGGATGGGATGTACCTGGAGAAGCATTGTTACTGACGTTGAAACTTGTCAAATTCCAAGCATGGATAAAGAACGAAGATGGAATTGGACCGTGGAAGCGATTCTTGACAAATCGAGTGTCTGGATGTTGCCAGATATTAGAGACAAAGGTAGCTCTCCAGAAAGAAGGTTATAGCTCAAATCAAGAATCTTAAGAGAATTCAATTACTCAAAGAGTTTATTTTCAAGTGAAACATGAAGTGAATTGTGGGAGAGATTCAAGTGGGTGAGATGCGTGAGGTTTGCAAGTGAGGATGACGAGGTAAAAATAACTCCGTCGAGCCCCTTTCTTACGATCAAATTGGATGCGTGAGGTTTGAGTCACTTCTATTCCCCTCCCAAATGCTTCCCACTTTCTTACGATCAAATTGGATCGTACTAACTACCCCCTCTGGCAAGCCCAAATGCTCCCTCTCCTCAGCAGCAAAAACCTTGTTTCCTTTGTCGATGGAACTAGTCCGTGTCCTCCTGCATTCCTCAAAGATGCGGATGGCAACCTCATTGACACAGTCAACCCTGAATTTGAAACCTGGATACAACAAAAAGCCACAGTCATGTCGTGGATAAAATTTTCTGTTCACCCTACTGTTCTCGCTGCTTTAATTGGGAAAACTAGCTCCCATTCTGCATGGACAGCCCTACGTGACCATTATGCTTCTTAGTTAACCGGTTGTCTCCTTTAGCTTCGCAGTGAGTTAATGAACACTCACAGAGGTGATTCTTCCATTTCTGAATTCTTGGATAAAATTAATTGTCTTGCAGACACACACACTATCTTTTTGGTGCTCCTGTTTCAGACTCCGATATCGTTGCAATCATCCTTAATAATGTCGGTCCTGCGTATGAGAGTACCGTTGCCTCCGCCCAACAGTGCTTTGGAAGCACTTCTTTTTGGCACTGAACGCCTACAGAAAATGCATTATGCATTCATTGCTGAAACCGGCCATACTGCCTTTGCAGCAGCTCCCACTGGTGGACGTGATTTTGCTCTTTTTCAAGGCCATGGATTATCATCTGGGTTTCGAGGTTGCGACAGTGGTCGAGGTTCTTCATCCCGCCTATGCAACTCCCCAGGCTCTCATCATGAGCCTCATCAAATCTCTTTCCAAGGCTCTCGCCAACCTGATGGACTTGTCGGACATGCTCATTCTCAGAGTTATTTTCCTAATGGTCAGATTCAATGCCAGATCTGTAATCGACATGGCCATTCAGCCATTGATCGTTTCAATTGTCTGAACATGTCTTATGAAGGGCGTGTTCCAGCACCAAAACTTCAAGCCTATGCTGCCAGTGTTCCACCGATGTCTGCCAGTGCTCCCACAATCCAAAATTAGCTTTTTGATTCTGGAGCCAATGCTCACATCACATATGATCCAACCCAAGTGTCCAATCCTCGCCCTTACAATGGCAATGATCACGTTAATGGTGTAGTTGGAGGCACAGGTTTGAAAATCTCTCATGTTGGTAACACTTGCATTCGCACACCCCAAGCCAATTTTCACCTATTAAACACACTTTTTTGCCCTAATGCATCCACAAATGTTATTTCCATTCATTTATTTACCAATGATAACAATTGTTCTCTAACTTTATACCCCAACTCCTATCGTGTTCAGGATCTTCACACGGGGAAGATGCTTTTCCACAGCCAGAGTAGAAATGGATTCTACCCCTTCTCCACTCCACACCACAACTATAACCCAGTTCAGCTGCAGAAAGAAGAAGTCTACGATCTTACGAAAAGAAAAGAAAATATATAGTGATGCTGCAGTTCAATTGATCTTGGAGAAAATAGACTACGGTTCTGTCGTAGATTTTGCATTCACAGCACAACCTTGCAGACCAACAAAATTGTGACCAAAATTGAACAAGAGAAACCAAATCTGAAAAATAAAACCTGCCGCCTACAGCCGCACAGCTTCAGATCAATGTTAAATTATTGGCAAGGCAAGCCGGATACTGGTGGCAGGGGAAGCCGGATATATCATGCGTGTGAAGGGGAGATAAAATTAATGGCAATGACATTTCACAGTATGTACACATATTTTTCTCTTGAAAAGATTGCATTGCAGCTCGATGAACTCTTCGTTGCCATAAAAAAACTAATCTACAACAAAAACAAGCAAATTGTATCTGTTTCAAAGTAAATTATGAAAGAACAAAAGTTACCCTCCATACGCTATTTCATCTGTGCCTAGGAATGCAGAAACTTAAGCGCACTCCCCTGGTTTCTCATTCGCTGTGCTAACAGACAGTGGCGGATTCAGGATTTCAAGATTGGGGGAGGGGGTTCTAAGATAAAAGTTCAAAAAAAATATATTAGACTAGTTTGGTTCCATAGCACTATTTTTTTTTATTGAATTTGGTTCATTGAATAATCAAAATTAATCAATCACATCAAGTGCCCAAGTGGTAAGGACGCGGATTTCGGCTCTTAAAATTCAAAAAACAGGGAGGTCCCGGGTTCGAGGCTCCAAGCTAGTAAGTCTGCTTGATTGTGGCCATGAAAAAGTTGAAATGCTTCTGTGAGTCTTCTTGGCCCCTAGAAGGGGTGGATAACCATGGCTTATCACTAGTTGTCCCGCTTTAAAAATAATAATAGTAATAATAATCAAGATTAATCTCAAAGGTAATAAAACCAACAAATTCTCCTCAGCAACATAACACATCAATTAATAACTTTACAAAGATGAAATTTGTTAATGTAACATATATATTACAATTGAGAGTTGAGACTAGAGTCTAGGATTAAAAAACATAAATGAATTTGGAAGAAATAAAATTAGGCAGCTAGAGGTGGTGGAACGGCAAATGGTGCTGGGGGATGGGATAACTTGAGTTTAAAGTTGGGAGGATGTGACGATGTGGAGGATTAAAACAAAAATTAGAAACCTCTTCTTCTTCTTTGTAAGCACTGCTGTATGCACATTCATGGAGGCAACAAGCCTCTCCGCTGCACCTGCCCAAATTGTTGGAAGGTCCCGAAGGTCGATCACAAGTGTTTCTTCGGGCTTCCGGAGGATCTTGGGACCTCCCGGGTCCCTATATGGATCCGTCCATGCTAACAAAGGATGAGGTTACCATGGCTACTTCCATTTTTCAGTTTTTGGCAGCTCTGGTCTGGTCTGCGAACAAAACTTCTTTTCGAATTTTCTCTCTTTACAAGCTCTAGATCCAGTTTCTCCAAAGGTGAGATACGTGACATGCAACTTGACCATTTATTAAAGTCTTTCTGTCAAGCTATTAAGAATAAAGAGTAGATTGCAGTAAAATGCGAACAAACAACACTGAAAAACATTAGAAACTAGTTGATCGAATCTTATATGCTAATTCAAACACACAAATATTCGAAGAAAATATCATAAAACTTACTGAAGCTTACATGATTTCACCTTGGGGTCTTTGAATGCTTCTATTGTTCTCTGCTTGATTCGCTCACAAGTCTCTGCATTATATGAAAGATCAAAACTTCAGATTCAGCCAAATGTATGAAAGTTTAAAATCCAACCAACATTTGGACACAGTTTTACCTGAACTATGTTTCGTGCCTTTGTTCCATGTTATCCTCCCTTCGTTGGCTTGTCATTTTTTCTTTTTCCGTCTCTGTCTCTCCTTTTCTTCTTGCTAAGAAACAATAGTTGAGAGAATGAGAGAAATAGGCGTAATGACAGACCTCGTAACTTTGACAGATCAAGGAACATTGAAAGGAGAGAAAATATGCAGAATTGTGATTTTCAGAATACCGGTCCATCTCCTGTGCCTAATCAAGTTGGGCCAAATTTGGGACCTGAACCTGACAGCATGGGTCCTACACCCTCGAACAAGGCTCCAATGCCGCCTCCCAACATGGGTCCATCAAACAACTACAATAATCCCTCGCCAAGCAACTACAATTCTGGGCCACCTCCCAGCAAGTACAATCAGATGCCTCCTAATGACTCGAGAGGGGTGCCACTAAACTGTTGAAATATAAATGTGTTGGCTGATTTATGTTTAAATTCCAACTGTAATGTTGTTATTGGAGAGTGTTAGTTACATGGCTCATAAGCATTAGATAGGACACTTGTATTTAGCTCATAGGCTAGATGGAATGGAGGGCTGAGATTAACTAAGAATTGTTTTGGCTCTCTCTCCTCGACCGGTTAGTTTTTGTATGGTTGTGTGAACTCACAAGCTTTAGTGTGAATGAATGGCATTAGCAGAGTAACATTCTCTGTGTGAACAATTTTCCACTGTGTTCTTTCATTTCCGATTTTGTTTGCTCCGTTTAATCCGAAACGGAAAAGAGCTTGATAGCTCATCACTAATTTAGGGTTCGTTTACGTAACCATAATCAAAATAAAGGGATTGGATTGAAGATGAATTGAATCGAGAAAGAATTAGATTGAGGAGGAATTATAATTAGATTCCTATTGAAGCTGTTTACTTAAATGTTCTAGAATTGAAATAAAAATGAAATGAAATTCATATAAGTTGTTTACTAATTCATCTGAATCTGAATAGAAATCAATATGATTACTAAAATGCTCTTATTCTTTTTGTTTTATTTCTTTCCCATATTTTTTTAGTAACATTTTCATAAAATGTCATTATTGTAAACCTTCATCTATCAGACTTCCCTAGCACAGCAGAATATAAGAACTCCTCCCTCCCCTTTTCCCTCTCGCTTTCATCTTTCCCACTCACCCTACCCCATAATCACCACCCTCCTCCCTGCCAATTATTTCAATTTCAAGATTTTATGGGTTTTGAGTGATTTCTTCAACGGATATGTGGGTTTATTATCTGGGGTTTGGGTGATAAATTCTTGAATCCGATTTGGGGGATCTGTGGTTGGGTTTTGTGAGGCAGTGGCCAGGGGAGTAAGGCATGGCTACACGGGGAGGTGGAAGGTGTGGCGCATAGATGAAGGTGAAGCGCAGGGAGCGATGGGTTTGTTGTGTTGAATAGCAGCCGAGTCCCAAATCGAAAGAGACAATACCGTGAGAGTGAAGAGAGAGAAAGAATGGAGGATCGGGAGGAGCAGGTGCTGGGGTCGAGCTTGACGATGGAGAAGGTGGCGGCGACCAAGCAGTTCATAGAGAACCACCACAGAGCTCAGATGAATAACATTCAGGAACGGAAGGAGAGGTAATCTGCAATCTGTAACTTTGATTGCTTCTGGATTTTCTTACTTAGGCTCTGTTTGGATTGCTGAATAGTTTGGGTAGTAATCCGAGCTCTGAATCGTGAAACTATTTGGTGTTTGAATTGGGTGTTGGCATCTCATGAATTGGTTTCGATTTCTGCAGGTTGGTTGCTGAGAAAATGTGGGAAGAACGAAATGTGTGGAGGATTTTGAGGTGGTGGAGAGAGAGGAGGTGGCGGAGGAGCATAGAGCTACTGGAGATCGAATGGCGGAGGACAACGAGAAGATGGGGTATTTTGGGAAGGAAAATCTGATTCCGGATGGAGCCTTCTCCCCGGAATCCAAATACTACCTTCTTCTACGTAATCCAATTCCGACAATATTCGGAATTGAATTCCTGATTTTACGTGAGGCCCACAGAACTGTTCATTCCGGTTGAACTGGTAAACAGAGGAATAATCAAGAATGGGGAATGACTCCCGTTCGGCCATTTCCTTTCCCCATATGTAAACATGCCATTAATGTCTTTGGATTATGAGAAATCAGAATTGGAAACGGAATTTTAGAATTTATGTCTGTGTTTATAGTGTATTTGTATCTTTAATTCATTTTCAATTTATATCTGTATTTTTTTTTTCAGAGTTGTTGCTTTTTAATTTTCTCTTTTTCGCTCTTGATTACAGTAGTATTTTGGGTTAAGTTGATTTGAATTGCACCAGGAAACTTTTGTTTGAGAAAATACAAGAGGTTGTTTCTCTATTGGGGGAGGGTTGTATGCACATGCTATTTTCTGGCATTTATCTTGTTGTAGGATGTTAGTTTATTTGTGTTATACGCCGACTCGATTATGGTGTATAACATAATATATGAACATTTTCTTAATACCGTTAATGGCTTTCTGTTGTATGCAGCAGTAAAAGTTAGTGGCTTTCTGTTGTAAGATAGGAAATGATTTTGTGATTGCAATTGGCCTTTTATATCATTTTTGTAGGGTTTTTGACTTGATTTTTTTATATCACATAAGTGTGTGTGTTGCGCTAAATTTCTTTTGTTTCTGTATATTTCAGCCCAAATTTGGGGGTGCAATTCTTAATGTTGGGTTATATGTTTTGAAGTTCTAACAAAAGCAAAACTCATTAACTTTTTTGTAGGTTTTTGATGATCTTTTAAATAGTATGGTCTTGATCACTTTTTTTTTTTACAGACTAAAGTTTTTGCAAGATTCATGGCTTTCACATTTCAAAAAGCACATAGGATTGTACTGTATTCCTATTGTTTGTGCTTCCTGTGATTTATATTTTGTAATGAAGATTTATATAGCCAAGTTTACATTGCTTGTACGCATTTGGCTGAACTGCAGTGAGGAAGAAGCAAGAATGAAGAACTACTCAGTTTCAACTAGGTGCTATTATGCGTTTGGGGCGCTTGTATCTGAAGAGGTTTCACTCAAAATCAAAGGTGATTCTGCTTCTAAGTTGGGATTTTATAATTTTCTTGTGTCTAAGCTCTCATATATATATGTGTGTGTGTATTTGTAAAATTCTTGCAGAGTTGCCTGGAGTCCGTTGGGTACTTCCCGATTCCTACTTGGATGTTAAGAACAAAGATTATGGAGGTACGGATATGCTTGTTTCTTCAAGTTGAATTTCAAAGAAAACAAATTATTTATAGCAATTGATTCATTTAAGTCATAAGTTCCATTCCGTAATTGCTCTGGCAGTCTGATGATATTTTGATTTTAGATTTATTTCTTTATTTTTTCTGACAAAGGATAGTTTGAGGCTCTAGAATGTTACAGATGTGAAAGTTATTAGGCAGTTGATGTTGTAGCAGTGCTAGTGGTGTGTAGAACCGGTGAAATATAAAGACCCCTGTTGAAGGCTTTCTGCAACCCTAGTCATTTTGTACAGAGTTTTTGTGTAAAATATCATAATTTTGAACTAACTAGTTTCGCGTGTTGATTACATCCGAAAAAAATGATCCACGGTAATTTTCATTTCAAAATTTCTGTACTCCCAAGAATTGTGGTCTGGGTACCGAGTGTTATAGTAATATTAAACAGCGTGTGTTTTTTTCTACATTGTATAGCTTTTTCTATGTTGTTTTCAACTAAGTTAAGTAGTAAAATTCTTTTATCCACGATTTGTTTGCTTTCTCGTTTGTTTTGGCAGGTGAACCTTTTATTAATGGCCAAGCAGTGCCATATGATCCCAAGTACCATGAGGAATGGATAAGAAACAATAGTCGAGCAAATGAGAGAAACAGGCGTAATGATAGACCTCGTAACTTTGACAGATCAAGGAACTTTGAAAGGAGAAGGGAAAATATGCAGAATCGTGATTTTCAGAATACGGGTCCATCTCCTATGCCTAATCAAGCTGGGCCAAATTCGGGACCTGGACCTGCCAACATGGGTCCTCCACCCCCAACAGGGGTCCAATGTCTCCCAACATGGGTCCTCCACCCCCCAACAGGGCTCCAATGTCTCCCAACATGGGTCCTCCACCCCCCAACAGGGGTCCAATGTCTCCCAACATGGGTCCTCCACCCCCCAACAGGGCTCCAATGTCTCCCAACATGGGTCCTCCACCCCCGAACAGGGCTCCAATGCCACCTCCCAACATGGGTCAACCAAACAACTACAATAATCCCCAGCCAAGCAACAACTGGAATTCTGGGCCACCAAACAGCTATAATCAGGCGCCTCCCAACAGCTACAATCAGATGCCGCCCAACAACTACAATCAGATGCCTCCCAATAACCCGGGAGGGGTGCCACCAAACAACATGGCTCCGCCTTCTAATGCAGGATGGAATGACCCTGGACAATACCAGAATAACTACACGCCAGACAGGGATGCTGGAGTCAATCCTGGTCCAAACCGTTACTAAGCTTGAGGCTAGTTGCGGTATGATGAGTCTTGAAGGCATGTTGTAGATAAACGAGGAGGTTGCTCGAGATGGGCTGTAGGTTTCAATGTTTCTGGTCTTGAATGATATTTCGTTTGGCATATTGCTGTGGTCGGATCGTGGTTGCCTTTCATCCGAATATGATTACACTTTCAAGGTCATATCTTATGCGATTAGTCGTGTCTTTACTTTGGTGCGCAGCATGAGTTCTTTCAGGTAGTGCATATATTGACAGAAAGCAGACTGCATGGGGATCCTTGTTAAATGGAACATTTTAATTTGCAGTACTCTCTGAAGATTATGTGTTGCTATTCGTTCGTAGATTGTTTTTGCATATTTTGGGGGTGATGTTATTTTGCTAGAAAAATGACATGTTACATTGTCAATTTCGTAACCCGATTCTCAGTTTGGCCCCTGAATCAAAATTTTGATTTCTTTTGGCTATGTTTGGGGTGAGGGATTTCCAAGTCTCAAGGAATCGAGACCAAGTTAGAGGGGATTGGAAATGTGGGAGGGATATGGGAGGGATTTTTAAATTACGATTTACGAGTCATTTACAAATAACTTCGACAGCGTAGGGACGTTTATTATAAAATAAAATACATGACAGAGTATTCGAAACCCCCAAATGTAACCGAGAAAAACAAGGAACTCTATTTAGCTAAGCCATCGTTTCATCCTATTCATGCGCACTGCTAACATGACATAGAGCCTATCCTGTACATTGTCTATGAACTGAAAGTACGCATACCTCCATGTCTTCTTTACGATCAAAGAACCACATACTCCCCAGAATCCAAAAATAAACCCGAACACAGCCGAAATATAGAGCCACGGAAGTTGATGCCCATCGTCCTCACCATCGTGGTTATTCTTACCATGCGCATCAGTGCGACACTCGTTTGGAAGTGGGGCACCGCAAAGTTTTGGATTCCGCTCAAATGCAGAAGCTTCAAAGCTTTGGAGCTGAGTGCTTGTTGGGATTGGACCTTCGAGATTATTGTACGAGACATCAAAGCTCTTCAAGAAATTAAGGCTCACCAGAGACGATGGAATTTTTCCGGACAAGTGATTCCTGGAGAGACTCAAAGCTTGTAACTTCATAAGGTTAGACATTTGGTCTGGAATGTTGCCGGAGAAGTTGTTGTTGTCTAGATGCAACTCTTGGAGAAGCTGCAGTTGGCCGATCTCAGACGGTATATTACCGGTAATGTTGTTGGAAGAAAGTTCTATCGATGAAGGAATGCTGGACAATATGCGGCGTAATCCATAGTTGATTAGTACCCCTCTCGAGTTCTTAATGCAGAGTGGCAATTCGACATCATATTGGTCTGCTTGAGCTGCAATAAGTTCATGTACCAACGCCGGTAGTCTACAAAGTTCTTTCGGAAATTCACCTGAAATAAGGTTCATTGACAAGCCTATATTAAAAAGTCTTGGTAGATCAGTCCCCAACCAGCTAGGAATTGTCCCTGTGATTTTGTTGCCATCCAGAGCCAAGATCTCTAGGCTCTTTAGCTTTGCTAACCATACAGGTATTCGACCTGTGAGATCACAATACGCCAAGCTCAATAATCGAAGATTTCGAAATCCATCAAAACTAACCATGACATCGTCAGATGGCATTTCTTCACCATTAAAGGAACGCGTAAGGAGGAGTATTTGAAGACTTTTGCAATGCATCAATATCTTCATTGCTCCTGTGACATTTTCCAATCGGAGGCTACGAAGAGAGAGGAAGGATAGAGAGTTTAGCGAAAGAATCTCAGGTTGTATTTGTCCCTCTAGATTGTTCGAAGCTAATCGAATTGCTTTCAGGGATCTACATGAGTAAAGGCTTGTTGGCAACTTACCAGTGAAGTTGTTCATATACAGGTCAAGTTTAGTAAGTTGAACAAGTTTGGAGAAATTAAGCTTGGTAATGTCTCCTTCCAAGTTATTTTTTGCCAAACGTAGTTCTACAAGGCTGGTGCAATTCATCAAAGATTGGGGCAACGAACCTTGTAGGTCGTTGAAATCGAGCTTTATGATTTTTAACCTGGAGAGCTTCCCCAAACGGAGAGGGAGTACTCCGCTCAGTTGATTGAAGGAGAGATCAAGGATTACGAGGTTGTTGAGGTTGACAATTCTCTGACTAATGCCTCCATATAGTGAATTCAGAGGTACTGCAATTTCTTCGAGTTTGGTAGCATTATAGATATCTTCTGGAAGTAGCCCTGAGAGATTATTGTGACCAGCATGGAAGATCTGCAGCTCGGAACACCTCCCAAAACCACGTAAAATGTTGCCATTAAATTGGTTTGAGGAAAAATCCAACACTCTAATCAAGGGGTTAGAATGGAGACATATAGAGGATGGGATGTAGCTGGAGAAGGCATTGTTGCTGACGTTGAAACTTGTCAAATTCCAAGCATGCATGAAGAACGAAGACGGAATTGGACCATGGAAGCGATTGCTTGACAAATCGAGTGTCCGGATGTTTCTAGATGTTAGAGACAAAGGTAGCACTCCAAAAAGAAGGTTATAGCTCAAATCAAGAATCTCAAGAGAATCCAAGGACTCAAAGAGTTTATTTTCGAATGAACCGTGAAGTGAATTGTTGGAGAGATTCAAGTGGGTGAGATGCGTGAGGTTTGCAAGTGAGGATGACGAGGTAAAAATAACTCCGTCGAGCCCTTTCGATGGTAAGAGCAAATGGGTGACCCAACCTTCCTGATTACAAGTGATGCCTTCCCAAGTACAACAGTTAATGGAAGTCCAATTTAAAGGAGGAGAGGATAGAGTGACGTTGAAGGACAAGAGAGCGCTACGTTCATTTTGGTTGCATGCGTGGATATTTGGAGATATAATGGACGTGAATAAGAGGATTGTGAGAAGGAAGCCATGAGCCATTGTGTTTGAAGGCTTGCTGCAGCTCAATGCTTTTTGTCTTTGTATATATAGCAGGATCTTGAGTCTCTACACTTAAAAAATTATGCTTGATTAGATGGAAAAGTAGCTTTCGCAACATTAGAAAACAACCATAACCACACATTAGAAGTCAAGGGGTCCTCCAAGAGCCCGACTGAGAATTTGGCGAACAAGCATAACCACATAATGCAATATTTCCAACCCCTTCAAGACGTCGAATAGAGATTTTCCACTAAAGAACGCACAAACGACGACCTTCGCTCGTTAGATCTACCAAAGAAAATTCAAGGTGGGGCAGACGATAACAACAAAGATAATAAGCCTAATTTGGCCCCAAGTACATGGAAACATTTAAAAAAAAAAAATGAAAGTGTGTTTTTTTCTAAAAAGCACATCAGTTCAGCTGCTTCAAGTGCTTCATACTATGAGCATTTCAAGTAGTTTTTATTATTTTATTATAAAACTCACAGCATAACTGTCAATTTTTTGCCAATGCCGTTAAAAGTTCTTTTGGCGATCTTGAAACACATTTAGTTACTTTAAAAGCACAGTCAAACCTGCCTAATTTGCGTAAATATATTATACTAACCTAGTGTACCAAAATGTTCGTACCTAAATATATTGTAATGAATTAGTGGCACAGAAGAAAATATGCAAAAACATATGTACTGAATCTTTACGAAAATATTTTCTTATATAAGATTAGGCCTGGCAAACGGGTCATGTTTGTCGCGTTCGTGTCGTTTTCATGTAACACTTGTTATCTTAACGAGTTGTGTCGTGTCATATCCGTTATCTTAACGGGTCCTTAACAGGTTGGGTCACTTTACCCAACGGGTAAAGTGACCCGACCCGTTATGACCCGCTATGACCCGTTAAGAAAAATGTATTATTTTCCTTAAATTTTCACATACCACACATTGCCATATATATATATATCACTTCAAAACATTAAAACACATTTGTCGTTTAAGTATTACATCTACACTTGAAAATAAGAGCCTAATAAACAAGTATTCATACACTACTAGTCTATTACAAAATATTAAATGTGCAAGGATATGCAAAATGAAAGAGTTTTTGTTTTCAAGGTTGTGAAGCCTTTTTCAAAAGTTTAAACCTTGCCAATGGAACTCAAAGCTTGCATATTATTCCTTTTACAAAATCCTCAATTTTCATCAATCATCATGACATAAGATTTTGTGGTATCCACTAGTGTAAATATTTTAAATTGAAGATCGAATTCATTCATTGTATTCATATAGGGTCAAGGAGTGTAGCTGTAAAAAATCATCAAAATTGGAGTTAAAATAGCCGTTAAATCGAGATTTTTTGTTGATAACCGTTAAAAAGATTTGTCCCGTTACTTGATCTCTAAATGTTTATGTTTTGCGATTTTTGGTATATGCGATCTTGAAGCATATACAAATAACTTTAACGATTGGATTGTTGAAATTATTTTCATAGAATGTGTATCCCATCAAAACAATAGATTCACTAACACTTAGAGTTTATTTATACTTTCATTAAGTATAACATAAGATTTTGTGGTATTCACTAAGGTAAATATTATAAATTGAAGATCGAATTCATTCATTGTATTCATATAGGGTCAAAGAGTGTAGCTGTAAAAAAATATCAAAATCGAAGTTAAAATAATTGTTAAATCTTGATTTTTCGTTGATAACCGTCGAAAAGTTTTGTCCCATTACTTGATATCTGAATGTTAGTTTTTTGCAATTTTTGGCATATGCGATCTCGAAGTATATACAAACATGTTTGACAGTTGGATCGTTGAAATTAATTTCGTAGAATGTGTATCCCATCAAAACAATAGATTCACTAACACTTAGAGTTTATATTCATACTTTCATTAAGTATAATATAAGATTTTGTAGTATCCACTAGTGTAAATATTTTAAATTGAAGATCGAGTTATTCATTGTATTCACATAGGGTCAAGGAGTATAGCTGTAAAAAATCATCAAAATTGGAGTTAAAATAACCATTAAATCGTAATTTCGTTGATAACTGTTGAAAAATTTTGTCTCGTTATTTGATCTTTGAATGTTTGTTTTTTGCAATTTTTGGCATATGCGATCTCGAAGTATATACAATAGATTCACTAACACTTAAGAGTTTTATTCATACTTTGATTAAGTATAACATAAGATTTTTTGGTATACACTAGTGTAAATGTTTTAAATTGAAGATCGAGTTAATTCAATGTATTCGTATATGGTCAAGAAGTGTAACTATAAAAAATTATCAAAATCGGAGTTAAAATAACCGTTAAATCGTGATTTTTCATTGATAACTGTCGAAAAGTTTTCTCCAGTTACTTGATCTCTAAATGTTTGTTTTTTGCAATTTTTGG